CAGTGAGGATCGCCTGGGGCTCTGCTCCTGGCAGGGGGAGGTGCCCGTGCTGCCCGAGGGTTGGAGCTGGGCTCTGAGTCTCTGCTTTTTCCCGCAGCAAAGTTCCCACCATCCACCAGCACAGCCTCGTCGGGCTGGGAGACCCGCACTTCTGTTCCGTGGCAGTTAAAACAACGACCAAGAACCATTTCTTTCTGGAGGATTATTTCAGAGCATTACCAAACCATCCCTATAAAAGAAGAAAGGTGGCTGTGTTTGACATCATTTGCCATCAGTGCCATTAGCTCAGAAGCACATTTCACTGTTTTTCCTGGGACTCGGACCTCCTGTGAGGAAGCAGGGCCCTGAGGGTGTTCAGAAGAGCCCCTGCTCACCCCAGCTGCAGACACCCAGTCCCTCTCAGGCCCTCTAACCAAAACCATGGCTCCAGCAGGGACCCCCAAGGCCTGGCTGCTGTAGCCCCCGGCCCCAAGCAAAAGCCTGCAGGCTGGGGCTCATTCCCTTCTCTGAAAGCCACATCCCAAACTCTGCCTAGCCTAGCCTAGCCTTAGGCCTGAATAAACATCTCTGCAGTTATTTTTAAAGATTTTTGGGAACCTTTAGCTCTACGCAAGAAGTAGAAATGTTAAATACTTTGGCAAGTTGTTCCCTCCAGGGTTCACGTTCTTCCTCCTTCAGGCAATAAAACGGCTGTGGGAATCGCTGAGGATAACAACTCACCATGTGCAATGCTTTTTTTTTCAGTTGTTCTGCCTTTTCGGGGGAGGTCTGTAGTAGAAACTGGCTGTGGGTGAGATCACGGCTCTCGTGGAGTCAAGGAGAGGTTTGCCCTCGGCTTCTGCACAGATCCTAACGCCATGGACACTCACCTCTTCACAGACCAGAGCTGAACCTCCTCAAACACAGAAAAGAGCTTTATGCCAACGGTGCTGCTCGGGCGTGCGGCAGCCGAGTGCCTCAGAGAGTGGCGTGTAATTGCAGAACACATTTTACTTCACCAGTGAATCATCAGTGCTAAGCTGTGCAAGAGCTCTCCAAGGATCCATCCTGTCTGTCCTCCTGCCAATGCTGAGCTGCTCCCAGGGCTGCGTTTTCCAGCTCGGTCTGCTCTGATCGAGCAGCGCAGGAGCAGCTCAGCGAGCGCTCGCTGCGAGGTGAAGGATCGCACACCTTGAGGACTGACTTTGGGTGGAAAAGGCTAATGGAAGGGTTTTATTACTTTTACTCCAAGTGTCTTGGCTGTGCTTTAGGCTCTTGGCTCACATGGTGCTTGCAGAGGCTGGGTGCTCCTTGCCTTGCTGTCAGCGCAGCCTGGACAGGAGCGTTACTCCTCCCTATCACAGAGGGGACCAAATTCTGGGAGAGGTGCAGATGCTGCTGTATGTCCTTGGGTGCTGCCGGGCCGTGAAGATGTGCCCAGCACCGACAACATCCCCATCCTCACAAGAGTTTTCCTCCTTTCTTGGGCAGCATGGAGGCAGAAATCATTCGCTGGGGTTTGGCACTGGCCTCGCCAGTTATGCAACATCCGACTCTTCCATGTATTTTCTCATCTCTGACCCCATGTTTTGGCTGTCATGGTTTGGCAGCTCACATGTTTGTTTTAGTAAGCCCAGAAGATTCACCAAAGGGGAGAAAAGGAAGGAAACCTCTTTGGTCAAAAACAAATTCAGTAACCAGACAGCAGGTTCCTGCCCCGCCACAGGCCGCTCCGTGCCATCAGGCTGCTCCCAGCACGGTGCTGGGCTCCCCCAGCCGCTGCGGCTGACACAGCACCAGCATTCTGCTAAAATGTTAAAAAGCCCTCAAACCCCAGGCTGACGCCTGCTCCCCCTGCAGTACCTGGACGATGGGCGACGGGCAGAGCTGTGGAGGGGATCTTCAAGTCGTGCTTGGGGAACAGAGAACAGAAGATGCAATAAGCAGAAAATTCAGTCTTTTTTTTAACTTTTCAACCCTCCCTTGCTTATTTTCTTTTTCTCAGTTTCTGCTACAGGAAATTTCCAATCATTTCTCAAAACCACTAAGTCCAGTCAAAATAAACTCACCCTGCGGCTGCCAGCTGCCGTAAGAATTCACTTCATTGTGCCCATAAGACGTTAATTTGAGCAAATAAGGATGGCACTGAACAGCAGCTCTGTGGCACACAGCCGGTACCCGCGGACACGGCCCATGATGACGACAGCGACCACGTCCCCCTGCTACGGGTGCCAGGATCCGTCCGGTGCGAGTGGCTGCGGCTCCTGGCAGGTTCAGCCTCCCGTCCTGTGGAGACAATAACACTGTCACCGTGACATTAAAATGCTTTACTGCTCACTGTGGGGAGCTGCTGCCTGCGGGGAAGGAGGGGTTTGGGTTTTGCAACTGGGAACTGCATCATTGTGGGGGCTTCCCCTCACAGAGGTGTGAGTTGGATATGAGATTTCATCACCTGGTCCTTACGCCAGCTTCGTCACAGAAATTCCCAGGTGTGAGACCCTGTGAGGGGCTCAGTAATGAGGCCCTGGCCGAGAGCAAGGTCACTGCTGCGCTGGCACAGCGGCGATGGGGAAACAGCCCCACGCCTGGAGCTGAGCCCTATGGACCTGCCCACGGGCTTTCCGCGGCCACGGACAGGGCCTGGCCATGGCCAGATCCAAGGATCAGCTGTGAGGTTTTAATTGCCACCTCTTTTGTCTGTGGTGGGAAAAAAGGGAAGGGAACTGCCATAGCAAAATGTCCCACCTACACCCAAAGGGACAACCTCCAGCTCCTGGTGCTGGTCCTTGTGCTGGCCCTGCAGCAACGGGAGATGCTCATGGCCCCTTGGTCCTTACTCAGGCAGAGCTGCGGCTGGCCTGCAATTAAAAATCAGACACATGTCATTTTAAAGCGAAGACTCTTGTGAGAATGAAAGGGTTCTCTGAGTCACCCCCAGCTCCTTCCAGCTTGAAAAAAATTCAATGATGCCACAGAGTTGGAAATATTTTTGTTTTAAAAATACATGCTGTGGAATAATCAAAAGCACAAGCGCTACATAAAGCTAAATTTAATTGCACTCTAGTTTACTGCTGCATCTGAAATAGCTGTTTTTCCAATAGCTATCTTGAATCCCAACTTTACAGCCCCCATGACACAGGAGGTCTGGCAAAGCTTCAAATCCAGGCCTCTCTTTTACAGATGGAGTCGCAGGCGCTCATGAACTGCGGGTGTGGATGTGCCCCATCGCAGGCTCTGCAGGCCAGAAAGCCAGGATATTTTATCTGGCTGCTTCTGCATGGGAAAGTCTCCTTATCCCAGAACTTCTTCCCAGTCCTCACGCCCTGCACTCAGTCTGCGAAAGGCCCAACCCTGCTAAATTCACTGAAGCACAGAGATGCGCAGCCCCGTGCCCACACCTCCCTGGAAAAGGCGCATTCGTTCTGCAGTGGAGAGCTGCTGGATGCCGCAGGCTGTGGAGATGGCCTGGGAATACACGGGGGGCAGAGGCAGTGATGACAGCTTCCCTGTGTCGCTTGAACGCGCTCATGAGTAAATCCCCAGGTATGAGATAAAGTTCCCACACAGCTATCCATTTGGTGCACTGATTTTCAGAGGAATACACACTGAGAGTCAATACTGTAAAATATAAGGCAATGGGCCTTTGGAGACATCCATGGAAATACAAGCAGTGCACAAATATATTTGGTCCCAAACAGTTATTAAAAATCCATTGTGTTAATGAGGTCACTGATTAGTGGTAATGTGCTACAGCGCTGTTTTAAAGATAAAGTAAAACACTGGTATACTCTCAGGCAATGTCAGATCCCCAGTTGCATTGACTGTGTCACCCGTGCTCTTGGCCACGGTATTTTCAGTAGTTAAAGACAAACTGAAACAAAACAAAGCAAAGCAACAATTAAAAACAAACTCCCAAGCTAGTCCTTGGGCTGATCATAGTAAATAAGCCCATGGCAAACGCAGCTGAAGCCTGTTGTCATCTCAGGCATTCCCGCCTCGCCAGCCCAGGACCCAGCTCGTGGGGGCTTTGCACGGAGCTGCTGCGGTCGCTGCTGCTGTGTTTTGGAAAGGACCTCACCAGAGCACAGCTGGGGGGATAAAAGAGCCTGAAACGCTGCCTTGCACACAGGCAAGCAAGGGAGGGAGGAACAGCTTGGGTGCTGCAGTCTCGAGCTGTACAAAGCATCAGCAATAGAAAAAGAGAATTCGCATGAGTTCGTGCCACGTATCAAACCATTTCTTCTTTTCCCTTCTAAACAAAGGAAGGATCCAGGAACACTGAGCTCACCCAAAGGACTCGCTTTTAGGGTCCTTTTACGCCGTGTCGCTGTAAGGTTCACAGGATTCACACCATTTCCTTCAAAACGCTCCATTCCCCCAGCCCCCTGCTCCCAGCCATGCAGGACCCTGTCGCACGCACCCAACTTTTGGAGATAAAGTCTTGAAAAAGAGCCTGAACCTGCGAGTGTCAAACCAGCACAATTTCCATAATTGTTACCATTAACACTGCAGCACCACCGGTAAAAATCCCCACCAGAGCTGCTGAAGGTGCACCAGGTTTTGCCCAGTGCCAAACCCCACAGGAGGATGACACAGCCATCATAGTTGGACTCGATGATCTTAAAGCTCTCTTCCAACCGAATGGTTCTGTGATCTGCTCTGGAGCCCGTTCTCCCCAGGGATACCGCAGCGATGCTCCACTCAAATCAACGAGCTTAAACCTACTTACACTGGAGCAGGCCATGGATCACGCTGATCCTGTAATCCCAGCTGATCCCGTAATCCCAACAGCCTCATGCCAGCTCTGGCAGCCCTTCCCAAGGCACACAGCCACAGTTCCTCCAGGGAAAGCCGCTGCTCTTTTAACCTGGCAAGCAGCGAAACACCATGCAGCTTGGTCACTCATTTCCCCCCTCCCTGTAGGGATGGGAAAGAGAATCAGGAGAGTAAAAGTGGAAGAACTCATCTGGTCAAGACAAAGCCTATTTGCTAATTAAAATAAACCAGACTGAAATAATAATAATAATTCAAATTAATTGTAATAAGACTGAGAATAAAGATAATAAAGCAATTAAAGTTCTCCTCAGCTCACAGACAGCAGCCGCTGCCCGTTCGGCAGCGACAACACAACGAGGGAGGGGGGAGCCTCCCAGGTGGAGGGGCCACACAGGGGGTGCCCAGGGTGCACAACCTCTGCAGAGGGTCACAACACCCCTGCACAGCCCTGCTCGCAGGAACCAAACCGCCCGGCTGCGGCTTTCTGCATGGCTCCAGAATGGCACTGTTCGTGCTAAAGTGTTTCTGCTTCATCCCATGATGGCCTGAAAGCTCATAAAAACCAATGGAGCCTGCACCGACCCTGTGAATAACAAGCTGGCCTAATACAGCATGGTGGAAATACATATACATGTGGTTTTTCACAAAGAGACTTCAGTGTCAAGCTTTTGGGAGATTATCATTAATTTCACTACTTTTTGTTTGTTTGTTTTTTAAACTGTCCGTGCTATTTACGAATTGAGAAACAAGAAGCAAACCAAACGCAGTGAGAGCCGGTACCCTGTCTCCATCCTCCCCTACAGCCGTTCCAGGCGGGGGGCACGGCCGTGCCCGTGGGAGGGGGCTGCGCTGGGCAGGCAATGAGACCCAGGCAGCGCCCTGTGCACAGCGAGCAGAGGAACACTTGTGCGGCAGTAACGGGTTTTACAGCACCTGCAAGCCCAGGTACACAGCGACACATCCCTGAGCATCACCTCCCGGCACCTCAGACATTCACTGAACGTTTCCACACACAGAGGCGTGGAAGATGCATTCCCAGGCTCCAGCAATGCGTCTGCGGGGCCAAATAATGACCCAGGGCACAGAGCTTTCTATCCAAAAATGAAGCCCAGCCACATTTACACAAACTCTTCTGCCTCACTAATTATTCCCCATTTGTAGTAATGTGTTTACCTTCTCCCTCCCCAAGTTAGCAATTTGTCCCTCTCTTTATTTAATTTCCAGCAGTGATTTTGAGCCAACACGCAATTTGTGAGAGCCATTCTGAATCCAGGGCCTGTCCTCGCAGCCGCTCCTCCACCTCCAGCGGCTGTGAAAAAATGATAACGATTTACTTTCCTTTGAACGGAAAATGACTGGCATTAGGCTTGCCCAACAAGCAGCGGTGATGATTTAGTTCAAATTCCTGCACCTGGGTAAGGCATCCAAATTCCAGAATATCTGTTCTCCTATGGAAACAGGCTCTCCTCCAGCCAGAGGTCCGTTCGGTGATTGCTCCTGCCAGCGAACAGCGCACCCTTGGAAGCAGCAGCCCCTCAGCTGCTCCCAGTACTGGCTCTGCGGGATGGGGCTCAGCAGTGCCAGGGAACCCCAGAAAGGCAGGGCAGAGCCTGCGGGACTTGAACAGACACGGCCCAAACTCCCTTGAACAGTCGCAGAGCTGTGCACTGACCTTATACCATCTTCATCACTGCAGGCAGGTACCAGCTGATGCTTCTGCTGTGTCGAAGCTGACCAGGAGAGAATGATTCACACAGAATCACAGAATCACAGAACGTCAGGGATTGGAAGGGACCTCCAAAGCTCATCCAGTCCAATCCCCCTGCCGGAGCAGGAACACCCAGATGAGGTTATACAGGAAGGCGTCCAGGCGGGTTTTGAATGTCTGCAGAGAAGGAGACTCCACAACCTCTCTGGGCAGCCTGGGCCAGGGCTCTGTCACCCTCACTGAGAAGAAGTTTCTTCTCCAATTTCAGTGGAACCTCCTGTGTTCCAGCTTGTGTCCGTTACCCCTTGTCCTATCATTGTTTGTCACCGAGAAGAGCCTGGCTCCATCCTCGTGACACTCACCCTTTCAATATTTATAACTATGAATGATGTCTCCCCTCAGTCTCCTCTTCTGCAAACTAAAGAGCCCCAGCTCCCTCAGCCGCTCCTCAGAAGGGAGATGCTCCACGCCCTTGATCATCTTTGTAGCCCTAAACCTTCCAGCAGATCAAGCCACATAATCACTATTTTTTTCACTCTATGTGCTTTAGGTTTGTTTTTTTTAAACTTTCTCATTTACGACCATCACTTTAAAAGGCAACACAGTGGAGTACAAGACAGCAGCAATTTCTCTGAAAAGCCCTAGCGTTCCATTTTCACATATGCAAACTGAGTCCAGACAAAGCTGTTTTGTTGTCTGGGATTTTTTTTTAATACTGATTGTTCCTTATGGATCTACACATGTTTGGCTGGCTTTTATATCAGCCCCTTTCCATCAGGGTCAGCAATGGGGCTGTCCACAG